ATATTAATGAAGAGGAGGCGGAGGGGGAGGAGGCGGAGGAGGAGGATACGTTTGAGGAGGCGGATGAGGATGGGGATGCTGGTGATGCCGCTCATGATGCCGATGATGATGACGCTGCTGATGATGATGCTGATGATGCTGCTGATGAGGCGGCTGCTGATGATGATGAAGATGGTGGTGGTGGTGATGATTATTATGCTGCTATTGTTGATGATGGCGATGGTGATGCTGATGATGATGCTGATCATGGTGATCATGCTGATAAGGATGATGCGGAGGAGGAGTAGCAGGAGGAGGATGAGGGGAAGCTGTGAAGAGACGGGTGAATATGATGATGATGACGATGATGCTGCTGATGAGGCGTCGGAGGAGGCTGATGATGATGATGCTGATGCTGATGATCATGACGACGATGATGATGATGGTGATGGTGATGCTACGAAGCCGATGATGATGCTGACGATGATGGTGATGATGCGGATGCTGACGATGATGATGCAGATGATGATGCGGATGATCATGGTGGTGGTGGTGACGATGATGAGGATGCTGATGATGATACTGGTAATGGTGGTGGTGATGGGGATGGTGCTGATGAAGATGAAAATGAAGATGAAGATGAAGATGAAGATGAAGATGATGATGATGATGATGATGATGATGATGATGATGATGATGATGATGATGATGACGATGATGATGGTGCTGCTGCTGCTGATGATGGTAATGACGATGATGCAGTTTTTGTTTTTGATGTTGGTGCTGAGGATGAGGATGAGGATGGGGATGATGATGCCGAGGATGAGGGGGAGGATGAGGAAGAAGCGGAGGAGGAGGAGGAGGAGGAGGAGGCGGAGGAGTATCAGTAGGAGGAGGGGGAGGAGGAGGAGGAGGAGGAGGAGGAGGAGGAGGAGGAGGAGGAGGAGGGAGAGGAGGAGGAGGAGGAGGAGAGGGAGGAGGAGAGAGGAGAGGAGGGAGGTGGAGGCGGAAGAGGCGAAGGAGGAGGAGGAGCAGGAGCAGGAGCAGGAGGATGAGGAGGAGGAGGACAAAGAGGAGGCGGAGGACAATGATGAGCATGAGGAAAAGTAGTAGGAGAAGCTGTGAGGAGTTTTGGGAGGAGGATGTGGAGGAAGAGGGGAGGACAAGGAGGATGAGGAGGAGACGTAGGAGGAATACTAGGAGGAGGAGGGGGAGGAGAAGGAGGAGGAGGAGGATGGCGATGGTGATGATGCTCATGATGATGCTGAGGAGGAGGAAGAGAACCGGTGGGGTCTTTGACGGTGGTGATGATGATGAGGAGGGGGAGGCGGACAATGATGATGGTGCTGATGACGATGGTGATGATGCTGATGATGCTTATGATGATGATTTTGATGCTGATGCTGATGCTGCTGATGATGATGGTGATGATGTTCATGATGATGCTGATGCTCATACTGGTGTTGGTGATGATTAGGGGAGGGTGATGGGCCTGATGCAGTGGAGAAGGAGGGGACGATGTGAGGAGCTGGAGGGGGATGAGGAGGGGGAAGATGACACGTAGGCGTATGATGAGAAGGGTGATGCGGAAGAGGAGGGTGCTGCTACGCGGTGAGGGGAGGGAGGATGAGGATGACGATGTAGATGCTGATGATGCTGCTGGTGATGGTGATGTTGATGCTGATGCTGCTGATGCTGCTGCTGATGATGATGATGGTGACGATGGCGATGACACTGATGGTTATGATGATGCTGACCAGGACGATGCTGACGATCAGGGTGCTGCTGATTACGATGCTGATGCTGATGATTTTGATGGTGATGCTGCTGATGATGCTGATGATGCTGATGATGAGGAGGATGATGCTGATGATGAGGAGGATGACGAGGATGATGATAAGGATGAGGATGAGGATGATGCTGCTGCTGATGATGCTGATGATGATGCGGATGATATATCTGATGATGATGTTGATGCTGATGTTGATGTTGATGATGATGATGCTGATGCTTGTGATGGTGATGGTGATGATGATACTGATGCTGCTAATGATGATGCTGTTGCTGCTGATGATGGTGCTGCTGCTGATGATGCTGATGATGATGCTGATGATGATGATGCTGATGCTGGGACTGATAGTGATGATGATGCAGATAACGATGGTGATGCTGATGATGACGATGACGATGATGATGGTGCTGATGGTGATGATAATGTTGATGCATATGATGCTGATGCTGCTGATGATGATTGTGCTGCTGATCATGATGCTGATGCTGATGATGGCGCTGATGCTGATGATGATGGTGCTGATAAGGATGATAGTGATGATGATGGTGCTGATGATGATGCTGATGATGATCATGATGATGCTGATGCTGCTGCTGGTGATGCTGCTGATGATGGTGATGCTGATGATGCTGCTGATGATGATGCTGATGCTGTTGAGGCTGATGCTGATAACGATGATGATGCTGAAGAGGATGCCGATTGTTCATGGTGGTGATGATGCTGATGTTGATGCTGCTGATGATGAGGATGCTGAAGATGATGATGATGATGATGATGATGATGATGATGATGATAATGATGATGCCGATGATGCTGATGATGCTGATAGTTTTGATGATGACTGTGGTGGTGATGATGCGGATGCTGC